AAAAAAAAAAAAAAAAAAGAATACGTAGTTGGATAGTTGTGTATAAAATATTCTGAAATTGGCTGGGTACAGTGGCTTATGCCTGTAACCCCAGCACTTTGGGAGGCTGAGGAGAGAGGACTGCCTGAGCCCAGGAGTTCGAGATCTTGTCGAGACAAGATCTTGCCAAGTTGCCCAGGCTGGTCTCAAACCCCTGGGCAACTTGGTGAGACCTTGTCTCAACAAAATATTTATGTATTAAAAATCAGCTGGGTTTCGTAGTGCGTGCCTGTAGTTCCAGCTACTTGGAAGGCTGAGGTGGAAGGATCGCCTGAGCCCAGCAAGTTGAGGCTGGGATGGCCGTGAGCGTGCCACTGCACTACAGCCTGGGTGACAGAGTGAGACTGACTTAAAAAAAATTCTGAAATTGATATATGTATCTGTTAGTAATATGATTAAAAGAAATTATATCAGTAATATAATTAAAAGTAATTCTGGATATAATGACAACATTCAAAAGCAACAGAAATGATACTATGTATGATCAAATTGAACAAAAATGTGAAAAAGTTTAGAAGAACCTGAGCATCAATTAAGATGCTAACTACAGAGGACTGAGAAACATCAAATGTTTAAATCCACGAGATCACAATGATACTAAAAATGTTAAACGGCCAAATTTGGAGCATGCTAGGAAATCAGCCTTTTATTACTGAAAATTAAAGAAAAAGAACAAAGCTTTTAAGCCTTCTTATTCAATATGAACAGTGCCATTGTGTAAGCAGTTAGCAGATAATGAAATGATAAATGGAGGCACCAAATGTCAATGGCTGCTAACAGCACAGAAAGAGCCATCACCAGATATTAGATGCTTTGTGATGGAAGAACAGAACATCATCCAGGCAGCAGTATTGCCAAGACCTAGATAAAAGAAAAACAAAGGAAAAAAGAAAGCACTTAAGGCCAGCATAACAACCAACTCTCAGGTACTGTAAGGGAGAGGGCCAAGGTTATCTATACTCTTGCTACTCAAGGCATGGTCCATAGACCAGAAACATCAGTGACACATGGAGTAAGTAGGTGAAATATGAGAAGAAAAACAAGATGAATGAGAAATGGGGTGAAGATCAAGTTCATGGTGAGATCCTTCTTTCTTTCCTGGATGCTTTGGACCTGAACTTGCAGAAAGCTTTCCAAACACCTCAGCAGTTGCCTGCTCCCTGCCCAGCTGGGGCAATCTTTGTAAGGATGGCTAGCGTATGCTAGACTGGCTCTCAGTCTCCTGTGTACTGTCTTCTTGTCTTTTCCCTCAGAACAATGCTCTTTCCCTTGATTCCATAAGACAGCCTCAACTGGCTTAAAATGAAACACCTTGCTTTCAAAAAAAGAAAGGCCACATGATGTCGAACTTAAAAAAAAATTATAAGCTCAAAATCTTTTTGATGGAGCATTAGTCAAATTTATAACAACCTAAAAGTCAAAATGATATTGATAAAGATTTTGTAGAGAGAAAGGATTAAAGAACAGACAGGAAACCAGATAGGTAAAGGTTATTTTAAATTTCTGTAGGCAAGTTGAACATGGTGGCTGACAACGTAAGTTCTAGGGACCAGAATTCTTAGATTCAATTCTTGACCCTACATCACTTTGCTTCTTTTTTTTTAAGTTGGAGTCTCATTCTGTGGCCCAGGCTGGAGTGCAGTGGCACGCTCATGGCCACCATAGCCTCGACCTGCTGGGCTTAGGTGATCTTTCTGCCTTAGCCTCCCAAGTAGCTGGAACTTTAGGTGCGTGCCACCATGCCTGGCCAATTTTTTGATTTATTGTCGAGACAAGATCTTGCCAAGTTGCCCAGGCTGGTCTCAAACCCCTGAGTTCAGGCAATCCTCTCGCTCTGGCCTCCCAAAGTGCTGAGCCACCATACCCAGCCCAACCACATCACTTTGTACCTCAGTATACTTATCTTCAAAATAGACAATGAGTGTGCCTATCTCATAAACTTGTGAGAATGAGATGAAATGTATTTACACACACACAAAGTGCTTAGAACAAACAGTACATGGCACAGAGTAAGCACAGTAATAGCTATTAATATTGTTATTCTGCTAGGAGAAAAATAAGAAATTTCCTGAGACATTTAAAAGACACTGTTATTCAGCCTTTAACCCAAAGTTAACTTTCAACCTCACTTCAGGTATGATGCATAGGAAATAAGACATGCTCACTTTAGTTTTATACAAATTCTGTTTGTCCAATCTATTCTACTTCAGACACATAGGCTGGTTCACTAGAACAAATCAGGGTGCTGTGTCCAGCTGTTTTCCCTAAAGGTGGGTCCTCAAGTACCACAGACTATCAATAGCAATTTGGGTATAAGTATCATAGGCTGAAGCTTGGCTTCTTTGAAGATAGTCATGAAATAAGTCTCTCAGAATTCCAATTCACTGCTTGGATGTTAAGGAAGAGAGACGATTACAGGGAGGGTCAGACAAAGGTGGGAAGATAACTGATAGATGGGAGAAAGTGTACAATGCCTATTTCCATACCAACAAACTGCAAGACATTCTCGCAGTGGAGAACTAATATTCCAGGAAGCGGCATCTAAGTTATTTGAGGCATGCAACTTACCCAGTGAGACCAAGTTACTGTAGTTCTCTAACATCACATCCCAGTATAGGTCCCTCTGAGAAGAATCCAGACAGGCCCACTCCTCCTGAGAGAAGTCTATGGCTACGTCAGAGAATGTCACCAAACCCTGAAAACACAGACCCACATATTCCTGATGAAATGAAAGCAAATAGCTCCAACATGAAGAAGACAAAAGCTTACCTTCTGGGTAGGGGTGAATACAGTGAGTAGACATAATGCCTGTGATATGGGTAGAAGGGCAGTGAGGACATCATCATAACTGACTGAAGCAGAATACCTACATGTTACTGAAGAACACTACTGCTGCAGAGAAATGACTTGTACACCAGAATTCTTAATACTCAAACCTGTCAGGAAGTGGATAAAGCAATCCAAGTTTTCCTTTTGTTTACAAGCACAGAGTCTGTTACGTGTCTGCATTGTAAATTCTCAACAAGTATAGCTTCCTATAGCATCCTATTTTTCTTTTTGAGATTGGAAAATATAGTTCATTCAGAAAGTAAATTAGAGACAGAGAAATTCACCTCCCCAAGGTAGGGGAGGGGGCCAAAGCTTAGGAAACATGGCAGTGGCTATAGCTCAAACAGCACATGGCCTCACCAGAGTTTTGTAGAACAATGGCCTCATCCTACTTTTCTTTTTTTTTTTGAGTTGGAGTCTCAGTCTGTCACCCAGACTGGAGTGCAGTGGCCACTCCTGGTCACTGCAGCCTCGACCTGCTGGGCTCTGCGATCCTTCTGCCTCAGCCTTCCAAGTAGCTGGAACTACAGGTGTGCACTACCACGCCTGGCTAATTTTTTGATTTATCGTAGAGATGAGGTCTCGCTAAGTTGCCCAGGTTGGTCTTGAACCCATGGGCTTAGGCAATCCACTCACCTCAGCCTCCCAAAGCGATGGGATTACAGGCTGAGCCACCGAGCGCGGCCCTACTTTTCTTAAAGGAAAAAAAACCCTGAGATTTTTTTTTTTGTTTAATATAAGACCTTTTATTTCAAAAAATAGGGTTTGCTTTAAATGTTTTTAGACTCCAGTTTATCACGGTGCCAGATTACATTTTAAGCAGTCTTCCTTTGTAATGACAAAAGCATTTTTAAAATTTCATCATACAGAGAAGTCAGACTTAGTCTATTGTAGTTATGTAGTTAGATTGCCCAGAACATCTAAGGGTTTTCCCCATTCTGGGGGTATATGATCATCTCCTACTTCTGTAATGAAAAATCTTCATGCTTGTTACTATCTACCACTTAGAGGACACTGGTGTCAAATGATTCAGAATCACATAGAAGTCTGGCAGGTTCATTTAACAATAAATGAACCTATCAGTTCATTTCTCTATCATTCTCTGTCCACAGGTCCTAACCACAGCCATATCCAATTCTAAAAGACCCATAAAGTTTGAGATCTCACTATATACTAAGACTAAGACCATCATACATGAACGTATCCTCTTATCTACCTAGAAAACAAGAACAGTGGAGAATTTGTTTTCTCACATGGTCAAATGGAACTAACACATCTAAGCACAGACTTGAATTAAATATTTCTCTCAAGAGACTGTTTTCTCATTGCTCCAAAATTACTCTTGATAAAAAAAGTGATCAAATAGGAGACACTGAATAATTTGCATAATGATTTCCCAAAAAGGCAGACATGGGACTATATGGCATTATCATTCACTGGAATAGAATGAACTGAGAAGTAGGTAATTAAATGGGGTTTGATTAGGTAGAAGGCTCCAGATAGTTCACAAAGATATCCACAGGACCCAAACATCACATTTCAAGAAACAAAGAGAAACATTCACTTACCTGGGCCATAGTTTTAGAATTCATGAATTGATCCGTCCTCTTGGGATTTCCACTATAGAAGACAAATATTGCAAGATGTCAGAGTTAGGGGTGGAAAAAGAGAGATTAAAACCAGGTATACCTTGGGTTCCCAAAATGACTTAATGTGACCTTTTAGCTCCTCCATCTTGGCTTTCCAATATAAACACATACACAGGAGATATCTGGGAAAGATTAAGAAGATTCCGGATAAAACCATGCTCTCCCCAGAAATCTATCTGCACACAGAGCAGAGAAGCTTTACTGGTGTGTGGGTGTGTGTGTGTGTGTGTGTGTGTTAGTTAAAGACAGATGCTCTCCCCAGAAATCTATCTGCACACAGAGCAGAGCAGCTTTACTGGTGTGTGTGTGTGTGTGTGTGTGTGTGTGTGTGTGTGTTTACTGGTGTGTGTGTGTGTGTGTGTGTGTGTGTGTTAAAGACAGATGCTCTCCCCAGAAATCTATCTGCACACAGAGCAGAGAAGCTTTACTGGTGTGTGTGTGTGTGTGTGTTTACTGGTGTGTGTGTGTGTGTGTGTGTGTGAGAGAGAAAGACAGATCCAGACTGTTTAGCAGGATTTCTGACCAGCTCCCTGTGGGGTCTGTTAGGATGGATGTAGTAAAGAATTTGTACCTTCCCAAAAAGAGGCCTGGCCTTTGCCCTCAGCATCTGAGAGGTAATCTATATTATACCTGATAGGAATGTCTTTGTATCTGCTGGGGGCTGGACACACCAGGAAGACCAAACAGGTGATTTAGGGGGGAGACTTTGGGTTATGTAATATCAGTCAGCTCGGAGACTGAGATTAGACATGTAGACAATCAGTCAATCATGCATATATACTGAAGCCCCAATAAAAACTGGACATGACAGCTTGGGTGAGTTTCCCTGGTTGGCAACAGTTAGTGTTTGTTGTCACATATCAAAGTCCACAGAGGAACAACAAATCCTGACTCTGCAGGGAGAGGACACCAGACTCTCTATGTTTGGAACCCTCCTGGACTTCAACTTAAGGGCTTCTTTCCTTGACTGATGTTAATCTGTATCCGTTTCCTATAAGAAAACTTAACCATGAATATAACATCTCTCAGTGAGTTCTGTGAGTCCTCCTAGTGAATTGTTAGACCTAAGGGTGGTTTGGAGAACTCCCCAAAACTTGCAGCTGGTGTTGTAAAAGAGGGTGATCTTGTTTGGAGACTATGTCCTCAACCCTCCCAGATGAGCTAACTCTGGGCAGGGAGGATTGTGATCTGGATCCCAAAACATGCTTGGAGTGTTGGAGTGTTTAGTTTCACTCTCAGCACATCCTAGTTCCTCCAGACAACCTTCCAGGGTGAAGAGGAGCTCTGTGATCCAAACTTGGACCTCTTTTGGCCTCTAGATTGGGTGATGCCACTGAAGACACAGCAGGTAGGTGGGGGCAAGGAAATTCTCAGGTGGTCTTCAGTATTCTGGAGTCCAGAGAGGCTGGCTGTACAAATACACCCAGAATATCAAAGTAAAACAGTAAGCTGTATTGAATACTGAATTCAAAGAAATACTTAAAGACATGGGAGCTATTTCAGACATACAGTCAGTAGAAAAGTTAGACTACCAAAACAGGATGACATGATGATACATTTGTAAAATTCCATACATATGGAGAGAGGGAGGGAGACATATACATGCTGACAAACCAAACATTAAGATAGCAATAGAAATATATATACAAGAGATATAAAAATAGAGAAAGTTTAGAAAGCTATTTATATCCCTTATGCAGGAAAATATAGTGAGTCTGAAATTGCTGTTTGTAAGCCAGCTCACAATACTGGCCCTTGGCTAGCATCTGGGAACTGGATCCTAGAGTGTTTTCACTGTTCCTTAACATATAAGAGTGGTTCACTGTGCCAAAGCTGCTTATATAAACAATGTGGTTTATGCTGAACACTTGGTCTCCTCTGGGAGTCTAGAAGTTCAAATTGTGCTAGGCAGTGTGCGTACGAATCTTGATAAAAACCTTGGATTGACAGATTCTAGCAAGCTTCCCTTATAGATAACACTGAATAGGGGTTGTCTTAACGTGCTGATGGATGAATCAAGCACATCTTATGTGATTCAACTGAGAGAAGACTGTGAAACTTTTCCCTTGGCTGATTTTGCTTTCACAATCACTGGAATAAATCAGTCATATGTTGGACAAGATGTTGAGTCCTGTGAGTCCATCTAGAGAACCAATGAACCTGGTGGTGGTCTTGGCAACTCCTGACACATCCTTTGATCTTGTGTTTCTTTTTTTAAATGTACATTACTAGTTGTTTTTATTTTTATTTTTTTTTGAGTTGGAGTCTCCCTCGGTTGCCCAGACTGGAGTGCAGTGGCCGCTCCCAGCCACCGCAGCC